ACCTCTGTAGTTTTCTGGCTGTCTTTTGTCTACATATATTTGATTTAAATCTGGAATTTTTAATTTCTTAAAAAAGCATTTTTTTAAACAAATTATGTAAAATCAACTTTTTCGTATCGGAGTTTTTAATATTTTTTGATCATTGTGAAAAAAAAATTGTAATTATTCCCAACATTTCCATCAAATTATACACATTTTAAAACCTTACAGAAAATCAAAATCACAGGTACAAGATATTATTATTGAAATCAATCATTATCTGTAGCAGCTGCTTTGGCAGCCGGTAAAGCATAGCCCCTATTGTTTATTCAGCAAGTGTCTATATTCAAGTTCAAACCTTTTATCAGTTGCTGATTTAAATTTCCATTATTAGTCTTATTTTTGAAATTTAGATCATAAAATTTCAATTTTAAATTTGGCAATAAATATGAGGCATTCAAAAAATACCTAAAAACTCCGAAGTTAAACTTTCACATTACAAACGATTACAAAGAACCTTAAGCTAAGGGGGACACATGAGCGTAATCCAATTTAACCTACATAATATTTTTTCTCCCATTTTCTACTAATTTATTACTACCCTAATAATTTTTCACCACCAAACCACCCTTAATGGGAGCGATTCTCCTGGCTTAAGCTTCCAGCTAGTAAAATTCAGAATAAAAACTGTTTGCCAATGGCATATTTTTTACCCATTTTTCACTAATTTATTTCCACCCTAATAATTTTTCACCACCAAACCACCCTTAAAGGGGGCGATTCTGCTGGCTTACAGTTAAAACTAGTAAAAATTCAACAAAAATATTTATTATATACTACAGCGCATTCCACATGTTTTTATGAATTTATTACCACACTAGTAATTATTCACCAAACAACTATTTCTTATGAGAAGTCAATAATTCTGTTCAGTTAATATTTAAGGTGATAAAAATCCATTTCTACAATTTTACCATACTCTACTTGTAACTGAAAGTATAAATTACTTGCCAGGTTTTTACTGAATTTTATTAACCCTCATAATTTTTGACCCCCTTAGCCACAGTTAATGGGAAACATTCAACAAACTACGCATTCACGCTAGCTAAATGCGAAATCTTTTTGGAAATACAAAAGTGCTGAGCTGATAGATTTTTATTATATTTTTACCAGCCTAGCCATTGTTTTCTCAACTACCCTAACTGAAAACATTTTGAAATGTTACTCTGTGCTAACTAATATGTATTTTTTTAAATGTTTAAATATTGAAAATATGAAAATACTCTATTACAAAAATCATCAATGTTAACTGTTTTAAAAATTTGACTCTGATTATAGTAGTGAGTACATAGCTAAGAGAAATCGAATCGTGTGTCCCTTTTATGAATATAAAATAACTAAAATCAAGTTGAGTTTTAGTAAATACAATGGTATTGTTATATTTCACAGAATAATTACCATGTAAGAACTATTCAAATTAAAATAATTTGATTATGTCTATTACATTAATTAGCTAATTGTAAAGGAGAGTTGGGACACCTTGACCACCTATTGTTAAAAGATTAACAGATTTGTATTTATTGGGTACATCCATACACCTGAGTGAAGTGTGCCGCCAATCAATAAGTGGGTGCTGCAGACTTAATCGGATTTTAGATTAATACCACCCTTTTCACTAATATTTCACTTTAGCAATAAATTGCAAATATAGCGCCTCTGTACTGTCCCTGAGTGTGTTTTATGCTAAGTACAATAGTTTTTGAGTAATTTTTAATAGTTAACACCAGTGCACATTCATCTACGCACGATCATGTCCATAGTTGATTTTTAACTCTTGAAATGTGAAAACGTGCATAATTTTTATACCGAAAGAAAAAGTACGACTACGCCCCCAAAATTAGAGAGGAAAGTGCGGAATTTGTGCCCAGTATGTTAGGTGAAAAATATGAAGATAACAAATAATAGTTAAAGGTTTAAGTAAAACTACAATACAAAAAAATATTAAAAATACCTTTTATAATTTTGTTTTGTCAGTTCAAAATTCGACCTAGCAAAATAATTGGTTTCTCATAGAGGGGTAAACAATTGTGAAGCTGGTAAATGAATTGGAAAGGTTAAAAAAAAAGTTTATAAAAGTTTAAAGTATTACTTTTTTTATTTTAACCTAAGCTACCACGGGTTAGTTGAGAGGTGAAAAATTAGTAAAAATCGAGCAGAATCAGGTGGTATTTTAAATTTTTTTAGTTTATTATTAACTTCCCACAAGGAGTATTTAAGAAGTGAAAAATTAATAGAGTGGCAATAAATTTATAAAAACTTATCAAAACACTGTGGTAGGGACTTCAAAAATATTTTTTTTAATTACGCTGGTTCGAATATTTAGCTAGCTGTAATGTTTCCAAATAAAATTGCTTTAGTGGTGGAAAATTATCAGGGTGGTAAAAGTGTAGCAAAAACTTACCAGAACACCTTTTTATTTTAATTATAAGTACAGTAGGTACAGTGAAAAATAAAAAAAAAATTCACCATAAATTTTAACCCAACAGAATTATTGATTGATAGAGTACAGTAAAATTGTAAAAATAGATTTTCTATCATCTTAAATTTTAACCTAAGAGTTGTTGTGGTAAGAATGGTGGTAAAAATTACTAGGGTGGTAATAAATTCGTAAAAACCTAGCAGAACACTGTGTTATTTCAAAAATAATTTTGATTAATTCCGCTGGCTCGAATATTAAGCTAGCAACGTTAACATTTTAAAATAAGATTGGTTAGGGGTTAAACTACCATGGTGATCAAAATTTAGTATAAACTTATTTCAGTAAAAACACGTTTTTATTTCACTTATAAGTAGAGGAGAGTGAACTTAAACAAAAAAAAAAAGAATTTTTCTCTTGAAATTTTAATCTAAGAGAATTATTGGCTTTCCATAAGGGGTCGTTAACGGGTGAAAAATTACTAAGGTGGTAATAAATTCGTAAAAACCTAGCAGACTATTGTGGCATATCATAAATATCTTTTACCGGTTTTTACCGTAAACCAACAGAATCGCTTTCCTTAAGGGTGGTTTGGTGGTGAAAAATTAGTAGGGTGGTAATAAATTAGCGAAAAATGGGTAAAAAAATATGCCATCGGCAAAAAGTTATTTCTCCGAATTCTGCTAGCTTGAACCTTAAGCCAGCAGAATCCCTCCCATTAAGGGTGATTTCGTGGTGAAAAATTATTCCCGGTGGTAATAAATTGGTAAAAAATAGGTAAAAAATATTATGTAGGTTAAACTGGATTCCGCTTATTTGTTCCTGCTAGCTTAAGTGCCCTACGATATCACGTCACGGAAAATATGGTATATACCACGAAGACGGTATTGGGTGCAGTTTATAGCTTAAGTTGTGCTGTTTAGAAAACCGTACTTGTGTAATCGTTAAAAAGCAGTTTTGGACGTTTGTTTTAGATCATTTGTAAATGGAAAGTTTTTAGGCATAGCGTTTTTAGGCATATTCCAAATGCCTCACATTTTTTGCCAAAAAACAAAAATAAATTTCATGCCATAGGTTTTGAAGATTTTTTATGGAATATTTTTTTATAGAAATTCCGTATTAACCCGATTAATAGAAGATGAAACGTTTATTTATTTATCATATTTATGGAAACGGACTTCATTTGCGGCAAAATACAATGCGGCTATGAAAGCCGCACGATTTACCTTAAAAAGCATTTCTATTTTTGTAGATAGGACACTCTGATCAACAGACATCGAAGTTTTACCGTCAAGTTGATAAAAATTTTATTCAAAGTTGATTTCGCGCACGTAACTGACATTTAAGATCGCCGGTTGCTTTTACCGTGTTTTTTAGAGCATGATTTTACACAAAAAGTGCTACTAAACCTTTTTGTTCAAAATTATCTCAGCTATATTATTTATTTAAATCATATTTTTCAACGGCGTACAGATTTTTAATAAATCGGCGTACAGATTTTGTTTTCACTTTCCACCTCATTTTTTGGGGTCCCAAAATTAACATTCTTAGCAAAATTTAGATTGTTCGTATTATTTTGAGAGGTTAAGTGGCATTTTCCTCTCGGATGATTGGAGAATAAATAAATTTATCTATGTATAACAAAAATAAACCATTTTTGGGATTTGTTAATACGTTTCTTAGGTGTCTCTATTGGAGATACATTGGATTAAAAAAAGAAGACAACGACTCTATTGGAAGCCAAGATAATACATGTTTTTCCTACACCGACTTTAAATTTAAAAATCCAATTTTCTTGAACCTAGTTTTTTGGTATTTTTTACGCGTAATACCGATCGTTTTTATTATTATAATATCTGTTGTAAACATCTTAAAAATATTAAAATTTTTATCAAGAAAGTGCTCCGAAAGAAAAAAGGTAATGGTTCAAAGATTATCATCATATTATTTATACCGTTGTCCTTAACTTAACTACGAACCACTGAACAGTTTTTTATAGAGAAACGTTCAGTTTTTTTTTTAGAGAAAACGGAACTAAGTCAGTTTTTTATAAGTAATAACTTTTTTATTTCTGAGGCCGCCCAAATAATCCGATTTCAATTCCATAAAGAACATTAGATAGGTAGAGTGCTTTTTTGTAAGTACAAATAATGCAAATGTCTATAATCTGTGTCTATACGATCTAGTTTTTTGTACAAAATTTTAAAAAATTAATTTTTTTTTTAATTTATAAATCGATTTTAATGAAATGTGGTGAGCTGTTTTATTATGTTATTATAACGTTTATGGCAAATAACGAAGGGTCTAAATTAAATCTAAATGGTTAAAGAACATTGATTAAGAAAAGGCTTGTTTCCTCCTCTTTTTTTGTATTTATTGCAATATATCTATTATAGTGTAGTTTATTTGTTTAATATAATAAATATGATCTACTTATAATATTTAGTGTTTCACTTATTTTTAATATTTTGTTTATTATATTAAACCACTAACAGTATATTTTTGTATTTAAAAGAAAAATAATCGCTTTAATTAATTATTTTAGCAAATGGATACAACGTAATATGTTACTTCTCCAGTTGGGCAATTTATAGAAACTTCTCTGGAAAATTTGACGTTTCTGACATTGATCCTCACCTTTGTACTCACGTCAACTTTGCCTTTGTAGAATTATATGAAGATGGTTCATTATATATTGTAGATCCTTGGGAATCCAACGATAAAAATGATGGTGGATATTATGGTAAGTTCGCTGTATTTTAAAATTTAGTAAATATATTAATTTATTAATAAACTAAGGGTTTCCATAAAATACCACACGACAACAACAATATTTTAAATCCTTTTATCCTTGCACAAGACTCGCTCCTAATTACTATTCCAGTTTTGTTTATTTAATTACATATTACTCGATGACGTCTCAGAAATTTGATTATTTTTTTAACCTACACTATTTTCGCGGGCTAGACAGCTACTAAGAGATGAGTGTATCCAGTTCTGGTTGCAAATAATGTATATTCTATAACACTACACTATTCCAATTATAATAAAAAGTAATTTAAAGTCGGCCTCTGAATGCTCTTAGCATTACCACTGAGAGTCATTCACTGCGTTGTTCACAACCGACTAAAACTATTGGTCTTCATCTCTCAATATGCGGAGCAAATGGTACATTTTTAAGAAACTAGAACTATTTTAAGAAAAATTCCAAGAAAATTTCTTAATATATATATTCTTAATAATAATTGCTACTTCGTCCTTTATTTAAAGACATTTCGTCTATTAATCCGTACTCATCATCAGTTATTTTAAAATTATTTAAATAAGCATACATCCTTAGAGAAAAAATAGCAAAAGATATACCTTAAGAGATTTTTTTTATAGCCCTTTTTCTATCCGAATTGTCGAATGAAGGCCTCTCCCATTTCTCGCCATTCATCCCTGTTCTAGGCGTTTCCACATTGGTCCTGCGACTCTTTTGATATCGTCGCTCCAGCGCATTTGACGTCTTCCTCTTGATCTCTTCGCATCGTATGGTCGCCAGTTTCCGACTTCTTTGTTCCATCTACCATCTTCGAGACGTTCGTTGTGTCCAGCACCTTAAGAGATATGTAGCCCGAATAAAAATTAAAGTGGACTAATAGTTTAACTTATAACTCATATAAAATATAAAACATTCAGATTTTAATAAAGAAAAGACAACTAAGTCAAAAGTAAAAACTGTGCAAAGAGAAGAAGTTGAAAAAATAAGTATAAACTTTAGAATACTTTTTAACATAAAGCATAGTTATTTCACATAACAGAATTCCAAAGCCAGTGAAATTATTGACTTATTTTACATTAATAAGTTTAATATTTAAATTTAGGTAGCATCAATAGACCACGTTGTTACTATTAAAATAAAAGAAAATTTATTCTATATGACCAGCGAGATAACAAGTAACATTTCAATCGTCTACCGTCAAAGTAGCTTGCAACAAGTTTGCAGCCTCTTACCTCCAATCCTACTTTTAAGTTTACAAAATAAATAAATAAATAAATATATCATTCATGTAAAAAATACAAGTATAATTGACAACCTCTTATCTAAGTAATTACATAATTATGACGGTTATAAACCGAGATTTTATTGTCTACCAAAAATACATAAGCCTACATTGAGCATGAGACCGACTGTTTTAACCAATGTTGCAACCAAATGTTTGACAAATATCTTGATTAAATCTTATAATTATAATAATTATTTTAACATAGTTGATTTATTACAATTGTACGAATTGATCAATGAATTCCAATTACCATAAGGGTGAGTTCTCATGTTCATTGTTCACCAACATTGTCAAATGTCCTGTCTTTTTAAATAATAACCATTGAAGCTCTGTCCAACCTAACTCTCCTGTTTCTTGGGATGTGTTTGCAAAATTATTGCAATTAGTTCTGCTACTAATTTCTTGAGTTTTGATGATAAATATTATCTATAAACGTTTGAAACACTTATTTGTTCCCTTATTTCACCTTGCCTTGTGAAACCTCGTAAGACTCCATTACCGATAGCATACCCCAAGTCATCTATTTAAATACAAAATTAACCTCACATAAGCCCTTAGTTTTAGGTTACACACGTCAACCCATGCGGTTAATAGAAGGAAATGGGTTTCTGGTTAAAAACTCATATCCTCTTTTCTTTATAAATAAAAAGATTTTCTTCAAGAGTTATAGCTTTGTAATTAATGATTTACCCAATGTTGATCAATAAAAGTAAATTTCTTATAACACTGGTAATAATATAGCTCTGCAAACTACAATACATAGTACTCCTTTGACTACGTCAATATACCGTTATTCTTCACTACCGTCACTACTAACTAAAAATTCTAAGACTGTCAGGAACTTGTTTTTTAAAACCAAGACTCTCATGTCTTAAGAGAGTCTTGGTTTTCAAACCAAGACCAAATATTGTGTTTGTGCTGAATGTAACTTTTGTTGTACATATAGGGCAAACTGGACGATTACTCAAGGTAGATTTACCTCACACCGCAGTGATATTAATTTATCTACACATGCATGTACCTTAGCACACCTTGTTATTTCGTCATAACATAAGGTCAACTTAGAAGTTGCTAAAATTCTTTATAATGAAAGGAAATACACTAAAAGAAAGTTTTTGGAAATGTGCTATATACTTAAGCACCCAACTGCACTCAATAACAGAACTGACATTAGTTACTTGAGTCTTTATCACCCTTTGATTCTACAGAAATTAACTGTACTTTTGCTATAACGTAAAGATGTAATACTTTTGCTGATTAATTTTGAAATTATATACCTTTCTGATGCGTTTGATGATAAGTTTTTTGGCCAATTGGGGTATGGTATTGGCTGAGAATGTATAATAAAATATATTTAGCTTTGTGATGTCTTATGATCAGAGGGTTTGAATTTATAACGAGAGTTTATCTCTAGTAACGAAAGTTTGGAAGAGAAAAGCTTTGTAAATTTCTCCTGTTGAATCAATTCGTTGTAAATTTCTTTGTGAAGTTATATAAATTTGGAAACCAATCTATTTATTAAAACTATTTATATACTATATCCTATTGTTGAATATTTTTGACAATTTTCTTTTTTTTAGTAAAACTAGGGCTAATAATACTAATGTCTATGACCGCTTTTATATTTTGTTCTTTATAAAATTATCAAGCACTTTTCTGAATAATTAAAAAAACTGTAATAAAAAGATATTTTTGTAATTTTTATAAGTAAAATGGCTTTTTGGCATTTGGAAGTTATCATAATAAATTGCTTAATTTACGCACGTGTAAAATACTTTTTATTTGGGGGAGCCATTAACTAGTGTTCCCTATCACTTTAGCTAGCATCCCGTTTACATGAATTAATTTAAAAATGTACACATGTTGTTATTGTGCATTACAATTTTTGATTTATTTTTTTTTACTTTAGTTTCCCGATTTATCAGCTCTCTGTTAAGGTTTTCTAATACTTTTGGTAATATTCGTAACATTTTTTAACAGTTTTATTCTTCAGGAGTTCTGTTTTTCATAAGATTTTAAAAGGTCCCCTTTATTTATGAATTAACTTCTTTGGCTATGCTAAGCTAATACGTTTTTGTTAATGTACTATTTATTCGGTCTATATTTTGAATATTCTATTCTAGGTTTAATGTTAACTGTCTTTTTTTCTATTCTGATGTTTTTTATTTTTCCATATACTTATATGTATTTTTTATTTACTTATATTATGTTATATGTATGTTATTTTATTTAGGGTTTTTATTTATTGCTTATCCATGTCCATTTCCTCTGTGGTTCCATTTTCGACAGTGTTGATATATATTAATATATATATATATATATATATATATATATATATATATATATATATATATATATATATATATATATATAACAAGCGAGTCTTCTACAGCTGGCGCCGCTTCTCGCATCCTAATTTCCAGCGTTTTCTGTCGAAGCGATCTTCAGTTGTCTTTTATTTTTTTTTATCTATTTTCTGGTATTCTCTGAAGGTGTCCATACCAGTTAAGTCTTTTAGCTTCGATTGCATCTATTATGTCTAGATAGATTTCCATTTCTCTCCGAATGTCTTCGCTTATCACCCTTTCAAGTCTAGTGAGCTGGCAACATCGTCTCCAGTAGTTCATTTCCATGGCCTTAATTTTTGATTGGTTTCTTTTATTTATTTCCCAGAGTTCGGCGCCGTACAGCCCCATACTTTCTATTATTGTTTTCAAAATTCTCCTTTTATTTTCTTTTGTTATTTTTTTATTCCATAATAGTCCGTGTAGCTGTCTGATGGCTGATCTTGCTTGGCCAATCCTGGATTGTATTTCTTCGCTACTTCCTGCTTTTGATGTTATTTGGACTCCCAAGTATTTACAATTGTCTGTTGGTTTTATAGTTCCCATTTCGATTTGTAGGCTTTCTGGTTTTTCTCCTACAACTAAGTACTCAGTTTTTTGTATATTAATTGTGAGGCCCCATTTAGTGTACTCATCTTTCAGATTTCTAAGCATGTAGCCTACATCACTCTCGTCTTCAGCTAGAATGGCTTGGTCTTCAGCGAAGTGTATCATGTACAATCTATCATCTCCGATTGGGATGCCCGTATTGCAGCACTTTCTTCTCCACAGTGAGAGTGCCTCATTTAGATATATTTTGAAGAGAGTAGGTGCTATGCAGCAGCCTTGCTTTAGGCCCTTACTAATAGGAATTTCTTTAGTTAATCTATTTTCAGTTTTAATGTTTGCCGCCATATTTTTGTAGAGCTGTTGTATTGGTTGTATATTTTTTTGCTTATGATTTGTCTTTCCATTGCTACCCATAGCATTAAAAGTGGTTCACTATCGTATGCCTTTGTCAGATTTATAAAGACTATATGAGTTGAAAGGTTGTGGGCTAATCTTTTCTCGATAACTTGCTTTAGAGAGAATATACTGTCCATACAGGATCTGCCTGCACAAAAGTCATTCTGTTCTTCTACATCTGTCATCTCTTTTTTAAATTTATTTTTTATTATTTTTCCATACAGTCTTGAGAGTGAATTTATGACACTTAGCCCCCTGTAGTTTAAACAATTCTTTCTATCTTCTTTTTTGTAGATGATCTTAATAATGTGCTTTTGTCCACTTTAATAATTCATTTGGTATACCTTGTGGTCCGCATGACTTCCGATTGTTTAGAGTTCGTATTGCATTCTCGACTTCCTGTACTGTTATTTCATCGTCTATGTTGTTGTACTGATGTTCGTGAATTGAGGTCTTGTTTCACTCAAAAGTTGTGAGTAGTGTTCGATCCAAGATATTTCTTCTAATAAATCTATTTTACTCGTTTCTTTTCTGTTTGTTCTCAGATTTTTTACCGTTTTCCATGCTTCTCTTGATCTTGTTGACCCTATATATTTGTTGAGTTCTTTGCATTTACTTTCCCAGCAAATATTTTTTGCTTTAGTTACTAAATTTTTTACTTCTGTGTTTGATCTTGCATATGTTCGTCTATCATCTGGATCATTTGTTTGCAGCCACTTTTGATAAGCTTGTTTCTTGTTGTGTACTGCATTGACGATGTCATTTGTCCACCACAATGGAGTATTCTTTTTGTTCTTTTGAAATGTGCCGAGCGCTTCGTAAGCTGCTTCATTGATTTTATTAATTATCTCTTTAACACCGTTGATTTATCAACAAAAGTAGAAAATACAGACAGTCCAATTTTTCTTCAGCTTTATTATAAGCAAATGAAGAAGAAAAAGCATGGTATCAGAGACAAAAAATATTGAAATAAAGGCAGTGCGGATCTCACGGTCAAGACAAAGTGAATTTGGGCAGCCTGTACAATGTCAGCTGTAAAGATATGCTCTTAAAATAATTTTAGGGTTATTAATTAGTATTATGAAGCCGTATATACAGTCTGATATCTTTTTTATAGATTGGGTGTTCCTTTGTTATAAATTTTCATTCAGAATTGGTATTTTCTATATTTTTGCTGTAATATCAAAAATAGTATTAAAAAGTATATCCAATAATTATTTCTATCATTATTAAATCTATGTTGTATATGCCAATGTTTCAATTAATTATATTATGCTCAGATGGCCTTAGGTTATTTTGATGTGTACTCAAGCCCTTATTGTTACATATGTTTTATAGTTTATTTACTAGTTTTATAACTTACGATAGCATTATGGCTTGAATAACCTTATTATTAAATCATCAATAATTAAAAATTAATTAAAATAAACTACTATTTATTAAAATAGTCATAAAAGTGCTGAAGGCACAATAATTGTTTCGTTATTTTGCTTTAAATATCTACATATTAATAAACATGAAAATTCATTATCTATAAAAAATAGAAGTCATTATTAAGGCACAGTGTGTTTATCGTCTACAAGCCCATGATTTGAGCCAGTATGAATCACATAAATCAATATTACAACAGGTAAACTTACCACTCAAGGGGTGAGGGGTTAATTTGGTCAAACATTTTTGTTAGGTAGGTAATACAAAAATAATAACCTGCGACCTAATATCGTATAAAAATATTGGTACCATTAGCAGGGACAATATTTGATGGTTTTCGGAAAATTTTGACCCCATTACGATATTTATTCACATAGTTTCTGTTCGTTATTTAGATTACATTTTCAACTGATGGATTTTGCTCAGCGGATATATAGTCTATTGAAATAATATATTTTTTATGGATTAGCGTGCATTTTTTACATGACGCAATTTTATTCTTCTTAGGTATTGCTAAAGTAGGTATAAGCCTTGGATAAGTTTGTGGAGTCACCATCCTTGTCCCGCGGCAACCATTTTCGAAAAAGAGGCGCAAAGCGCTTCCGCGCAGTATCCCGTGGACTAGCAACCCTACATAAAATAATATCAAATGTTATTTGTAGAAAATTAAATTGTCTACAACTTTATCTCCATGACTTTTTGTCATAAAATGAAAAATAAATTAGTTCATAAACAAAAGTAACTAAAAATTTTCTTTTGGGTCTTATAACTTTTTTTGTGGTAATTTTACAAAAAAAGGATATGAAAGCAATATTATAGAAGGTTTTAAAAGAACCCTTTTTACTACAAATTTGTTTTATTTTATTAATTTCTTTGGATTTCACAGTTCTCCGAAATTGACCGAGTTCTTGAATACTCGCCATCTTGAAATAAGGGGTGCAAAGGATTTTCGAGCTGTATCTAGTAAACTAGCAACCCCATTTTATTTGACAATATTAGTAGCAAATTAAAATTGTACAATTGTCTACAATTTTATTTCGTTAATTTTTTTTGGGCTTTACAGCGCTCGGAAGTTGAACGGGTTCTTGATTACTAGTAAGAATACGATAAAAACAAACCATTAGACTTAGTTTTCGATTATTTTTTTATTCAATATTTGAAACCAATTTATTAGTTTCATAAGATTATTCCTAAATTATTAAAATATTTTCATCATTTGAAATTTCGAAAAAATTGTTTAAACAATGTCTGCCCAAAAATTTTGCCCGGTACCCTTCTGATTTATTTAGAAGGAACATTTTTGAACATGAATCCGAAATTAAATCGAATCATAAACATTTGTCTTACGGGAGCAGCCTCACAACCTGGATTATAATACTTTCAAAGCCATTTAGAACCATTTCTTTTGTACGGAATTTTGTTTTTGTTGATAACTAATGTTAATATGAACAAAATATATCAATACCGTACATACATTTTTGATCGTTATATCCCACTTATCAGAGGGAAACTAATTTTTCTTTTATAAATACATGTACCGTGCAAAATGTACGGCATATCCAAAAATGTTAACGCAACTAAATTTAAATCAGTAAGTTTCATATTAGCTCGAATGACCTCATTTGTACTACATAACTGGGGTCCAAATTTTCCGAAAATCAGAGCTGCTACTGGTACCAATATTTTTGTATGGCCAGAGGTAGCGGGTCATTATTTTTGTATTACTCACCTAAGTTATAAATGCCATAGAAAAATGTTGACCAAAGTACCCCCTTCCCTTAAGTAGTAATTTGACCTTATCTTTGTAGCCACCTGAACCGATAAAAGTTAACGGCATAGATTCTAAAGTTGTTATTACATATTGTAGTCTATATATGATTTAAGCTGGGTCAAATGACCCCTCAAAATGTCCCATAGGCCTTTCGTCTATTAGACTTGGATAAAAATGATAAATAAATAAACCGTCCCAATGTCAACTCAATAAAAACTTATTTACGGACCTGTTCAACTAGTAAACTCAAATGCTGCATTGGATCTATCCCTTCATGCTGATGACTCGTATCCCATTTTCTTAATACTTTTTGTTAATTTAATTATAAATTTAGATAGTATGTAGTCCAATTATATATGTTTACTACTCCTTAATTTGTAGAGGGTTTTAAACAACTGAAAAACCTGAAGAATACAAATCCTGGATTAAAAGTATTACTCAGCTTAGGAGGATGGAACGAAGGTTCCAAAAATTTCTCGATAGTGGCAGCTAATCCATCAAAACGACAAAGGTTAGCTAGGGAATGCCTGGCTTTAATTGAAGAATACGGTTACGATGGAATAGACATCGACTGGGAATATCCTACCTTGAGGGATGGATCACATCCAGAAGACAAGGTAAGGTATACATCTGTTATTTTTATTATTTTGATTTGCAAATACTCATACCTTTTAATGTAATACTCATTTAATATCATACAAAGATGATATTAATCATACTTTCTATATACACTTTCTTTAAAAAATTAACGTTTCATACATAAAAATAAAGAAAATATTTTTAAACCTACCTACGTCATATTATTTAATACAGACAAAGATTTTTTCTAAAAGAATTTGATAAATTTCATACTCTTTTAACTATAAAAGACAACAACAAATAATTCGACGGTACGTAATCGATATATAAGATTAATTAAATTATTTTTTTATCTATTTCTATCGAATTTAAAAAAGGTACAACTTTATCATATTTTTTTACAGGATAACTTTGTAGAAATGTTAAAGGACTTCCAAGATATCATGAAACCAAAAGGTTTGTTACTAACTGCTGCTGTAGCTGGAGCTGTAGATAAAATTGAATCTGCTTATCATGTCGAAGAAGTAGCAAAGTAAGTTTTTTACAATGTATATAGAGTAGCTTTAAGTTTTTTTTTAATTGTAAATGAACCTACCTACTCTAAGTGAAATAATATTTAGCAAGTATTATTTACTATTTTTAATGGATCGTAACGACTATTTCAGTTTAAATTACGTAAATTGAAAATTAAAATAGAACAGTATTTAAATAAAGAACAGTTAAGATTTGATTTCACGTATAATAGTGCCTCTGTATATTCACTTATACGTATTTCATCCAATCAAATGGCTTCAATTTGGACGCTATAACTTACTTACTTACTTACTTGGTGGCGTTACAACCCTTCGTGGGTTTTAGCCGACTCGACAACATGCCTCCACTGTTTTCTGTCTTGAGCAACCTCCATCCAATTCTCCACGCCCATAGTGCTTAGGTCTCCTGCTATATTATCTCGCCACCGGAGACGAGGGCGTCCGCGTGGTCTCCTTCCAGTTGGGACTTCCTCCCACACCAGTCTTATTGTTCGTTCGTCAGAATGTCTTCTGAGGTGTCCTGCCCATTGGAGTCTTCTGGACTTCATTTCTTTTATGATGTTGGCGTCTGGGTAAAGTTCTTCAAGCTCTTTATTAGTTCTTATCCTATATTGTCCTGATGCTTCATCAAGCACCGGACCAAAGCTCTTCCTTAGGATTTTTCTTTCACAAACACGTAGTCTCTCTTCATTTGCCTTTGTTATCGTCCACGTTTCGCTTCCATACATCACAAAGGGTCGTATGATTGTTTTATAGACCTGTATCTTCGTACGTCGTGTTAGTTGTTTTGATTTTATAAGGTTTTGGAGGGCAAAAATACATCTGTTGCCGGCCTGAATCCTGTTGTTTATTTCTTGTGATCTGTTATTGTCTTCAGTTATTGTTGTTCCAAGATACTTGAATTCTCTAACGCGCTCAAAATTAAAGTCATCGATGGTAATGTTCTGACCGATTCTGTCTCTGCTTTGGTTATTGCAACTCATATACATATATTTCGTCTTTTTTTCGTTGATTTGGAGCCCCATCTTCTCTGCTTTCTTCTTAAACCTTACGAAAGTCTTCTTCATCCTTAATGGCGTGTTTCCTATTAGATCTATATCATCTACAAATGCCAGTAGTAAGTTTGGTCCTTCTCGATGAAATACTGTATTGGGTTTTTCGATTCTTGCACTTCTGATTATGTGCTCCAGAGCTAAGTTGAAGAGTTGTGGTGAAAGTGCATCTCATTGTTTTAGTCCATTGTTTATTTCAGATGTCTCCGAGTATTGTTGTCCAACTCTCACCTTACATCGTAACCGTTCCATACACATCCGTATCAACCGGACTAGTTTTTTTGGAAAGCCAAGTTCCTGCATCGCTGTCCACAGTCTGTCCCTACATACTCTATCAAATGCTTGTTTAAAATCTATGAACATCTGATGAAGCTCACGATCAAACTCCCAGCATTTTTCCATTATCTGTTTTATTGTGAATATCTGGTCAATTGTAGAGCGGCCCGGTCTAAATCCACATTGATAATCTCCAACGATTTCTTCTGTGTATGTTTTGGTTCTTTCTAGCAGGATGTTTGCAAGGATTTTGTAGGTGGTGTTTAGGAGTGTTATTCCCCTGTAGTTAATACATTGCTTTTTGTTTCCTTTTTTGTGTATTGGTACAATAAGCCCTTCTTTCCATTCATCTGGCATTGTTTCTTCTTGCCAAATGTCTTGAATTAGCTTGTATATCGAACTGTATAACGCTTCTCCTCCATGTTTTAAGCACTCTGCGGGTATACCATCGCTATCTGGTGTCTTAATATTTTTGAGTTTTTTAATTGCCTGTATTACTTCTTCGTATGTTAGGTATTGGTCTTCTATTTCAGCTGTATGTACCTCTATGTTTGATGTACTTCTGCTAGATTGGTCATTTAATAGTTGATAGAAGTATTCCTTCCAGGTTTTTAAGATTTCCTTATCATCAGTGATAAGCTGTCCACTGTCGTTGTGAAGAAAGTTTCCTGTTCTTGCTTGGTACCCGGTCTTGATATCTGAAACTCCTTTAAAGAACTGCCTCGCTTGTTTGTTCTTTCTTTTTCTTCTATATCTCTGATTATTTGTTCGTGATACTCTCTCTTCTTCCTTTTCATTAGTTTTCTTGTCTCTGTTCTTCTTTGTCTATACATTTCATTGTTGTTGTGCGAGGGGTTTTGTAGCATGTTCCTTCTAGCCATATTTCTTGCTAATATGGAGTTCAGGCAATCATCATCGAACCATTTTTTTGTTGTTTTCTTTTTGTGTCCTAGTATTTCATCTGATACGCTTGTCAGAGCTACTTTGATATTTTTCCAAGCTGAGTCTATGTTGTTCTAGTCTTCTGTCTGTGCTAGAGCGATTTTTATAGCCTTTTGAAATTTCTGTTCTGTCTCCTTATTACGTAGAACTTCGGTATTCCATAATTCTGTTGGTGTATTCTTGTGTGTTTTTTTGGATGCTATTCTACGCTATTCTATGGACGCTATAACGACATCTGATAATAAATCTCGAAAGTAGAAATCCAAATATTTCTATTGATCAAACCAAAATTCAGATGTTAGTTTTAATCTGTGCCTTTGAAATTTGAAAGGCAAAACAGATGATTTTAAATATGTAAGAGAGATACGGAGAATCTAAAAGGTGCATTCCACAACAGCTTATTTAAGCAATATTCTTTTAAAGATTTTTGCTTAGATGAGATCTTTATAGATAAGCGAATATACAGAGGCACTATTATACGTGAAATCAAATTTTAACTGTTCTTTTTTTATTTCGGTTTACTCCGATATGTTGTGGAACGGAACTTTTAGATTCTCCATATCTCTCTTAAATCTTTAGCAACATAATGTTTTGCCTTGCAAATTTATAGATAGTACAGATTAAAGCAAAAATCTGAATTTTTGTTTCCTCGATAAAAATGTTTGGATTTCTACTTTCAATATTTAGAAAAGTATTATTTTGTATTTTAAGAACGATTGCCGAAGTGGAATATACATTTTTCTTTAAGTTTTTTTATATACGTTTTAGTTGATTAAATAATTTTAAACTTTTTACACAGATTTAAAATACTTAGTTGATATTCAAACTGAGTATTTCTCATTATAATATGATATCCCTGTCATATATTTAGCTTTAAGTACTATTCTATTAGTTTTATGTTTAATGTTAGATGTCATATTAGTTTTATGTTTGATGTTGGTTGTCACATAGATGAAGGATGACACGTCGTGCAATCCGGGGATATTGTAATAGTTCTTAAATAAAAGAGTTAATAAAAATCTAAAAAAATTACCATCTATACAAGATGGAGGTGAGACTGCCAAATCCTATGAAATTTGAGGGCAATATAGCAGAGCATTTCAGGAAGTTTAAGCAAAACTTGGAAAATTACTTGATTGCCTCTGAAAAGGACACAAAACCAGATAAAATGAAAGTTGCTATTCTTTTAAATTTAAAGGGTGAAGAAGAAATTGAGGTTGTGAACACTTTAAAACTTTTAGATGTTCAAAAGGGTAATTTTCAAACAGTATTAAATGAACTAGAAGCATTCTGTGTACCAAAAAGAAATAAAATTTGAAAGATTTGTTTTTTATACGCTCAATCGGGAAGAAGGCGAAGCATTTGATCATATTTATACAGATATAATAAAATTAGCACAGTCTTGTGAATTTAAGTCTAAAGTAGATACAGCTTCACGTGATAGAATTGTCATGGGAATCAACAGCAGAGAATTGAGAGAAAAATTATTTATTCCCAAGACGCTAACTTTAAAAAAAGCTGTGATATTTTTCAAGCTAGTGAGTTGTCAAAATTATAACTGAAAATGTTGAGAAACAGTTAACAGGAAAAACAGAGGCTGTAAAATACAATCAGAGTTATCAAAGATCAGATATAAACATTCAACAAAACACAAGTAAAAGTGGTAGTGGTAATCAAGAAATGTTCAATTGTAAGAGCTGTGGAACCCGTCATGGAGTACGGCAGTGCCCTGCATATGGTCAAAAATGCAAGAGGTGTTCGCAGTATGGACATTGGGAAAGAATGTGCCGCAATATGTCAAATGAATCTAGCAGCAGTGGTTCAAGGACAGTCAGAGAGGTAATAGAAACTGGCATTACTAATAATATGGATAGAGTGCTCCAGAATTTTTTCAAAAATTAAATCAAGAAAATTTTGGTGATTTGCCAGGGTGCTGAGAATACTTTGATGATTTGTTGGTTTTTGGGGAAACACTGGAGCAACATAATATGAATTTAAAAAGAGTCATGGATAACAATAATTTCAGCAATAAAAAACTTAAAAGAACTATCAAATAAAAAATAACTTTAAAGTATTCTAGGAATGATAAATTATTTAAGGAGTTACATTCCTGTAACAATAAAACACTGAAAACTTTGTTTCAAAACTTCCACAAAAATTTATTGTAACTCTTATTACTACAGCTGTTTCGGCTGATTGCCTTTCTCAAGTGATCTATTTTTGACATTCGTTTACACTTTATGGTCTCTAATGAAATAGGTTGAGGAGAGGAGAACTGTTTGTCTCAAGTTGGTCATTCAGAATTATATCTGTGTTTTTTAATTTGTTGACTTCAATAGATTCTAACAAGGATAGCTTAAGGCCTTTATTTTGAATGTGAAGAATTTTTAATTCGTCGTTAAAAGAATGATTGTGATCTAGAAGGTGAAGTGCGTATGTAGAATCTGCTTTTCGATTATTTAAATCTCTTTTATGTTCTGCTATTCGTTTGTTGAGGTTTCTACCAGTTTGACCGATGTAAGTTTTTGGGCAGTCGCCACATTTAAGTTTGTACACACCACTGTTTAAGTGTTTTTTATTTTGGCTCTTGTTGTGTTTGATATATTTGCCTAGTTTGTTATTTGTTCGGAAAGCTGGTGTTATTCCTTTCTTTTTTATGTGTTTGGCTATTTTTGTTGTAATTTTGCCTGTATATGTAATCGAACAAAAGGT